ACATGCAGCATAATACAATACATGCAACAATTAGATACACGTTGGAACCTTAGGTATTGGTGATGATAGTAGCAAATACTGCTTCGGTGTCTACCATGTGCTGATTCTGTAGAGCTCGCCTTCTGCTCGCTGTAGTCGGTAGCACTGATGTCATGAACGGGCCGTCTCTAGGGCGTGCATGCGGATGTGGTGGACCAGTGTATCCGGGTAACATGGCTTTGTGATCGGGAGAGCGCCCCATGGGGCACGGCTTGTTCTCTCGATTGCTCGGCCGCCCCTGCATTTCCGCGTGTAACAGAATCGGTCTAAGAACTGGAGTAACTCGTTGCTGTGGGAAGCCGTCCGCAGTAAGAGAGTGAAAGAGTTGGCAACGGGTACTAACCTGACCCTGACCTAGGTGGAGGTGGGGTCCGTGGTGTCTGGCAAAATACCTAACAGCCAAATTTATTTATGATATATATATATATATATATATATATAGAACAAAATGAGGGATACAGCCACCCTCTGAGAAAGAGGCGAAAGCAACACGCCGCAGTATGGGCAAAGCAACACGCCGTACTGTTGGCGAAAGCAACACGCCGCAGTATAGGCAAAGAAAAGCAACACGCCTCACTGTGGGCGAAAGCAACACACCGCACTGTTGGCGAAAGCAACACGCCGCACTGTTGGCGAAAGCAACACGCCGCAGTATTGGCAAAGCAACACGATGCAAAAGTATTCTGTTGGACAAATAGAGCAGTGATAAAGAAACGCTAGGTTTGTAGTACAACTTAAACAACTCAAACTATTACAAATAGAGTAGTGATCAACAAATAGAGTAGTGATAAAGCAATGCTAGGTTTGTAGTACAATTTAAACAATTTAAACTACGTATCGCCGACTGCCCGGCAATCTGGTTACGTAATATAGGTATACCGCCTGATTTAAGTAATTAAAATGCACGATGATAGGAAAGAGTCATGTCTGTAGGGCTGTTGATGCGTAACTTGGTCTGAAAATGACATAGCCTCTCACAGTCAAGTCGAACCTCACCTCCTAGTGGTACCTGCTGGAAACCTAGAGTAAGAGTTCCAAGACTCTGAAAAAGTGCTAACGAGGTTAAGGCGTGGGGTTCGGGCCGCAGACTCTGCCTGAGAAGGATGTGAGATATGAGGTGGTCTTGAGTCCCGTTTTGGTGTGACAACCGGCGTGGCGCGCCGTCCGACCCGGAGCGATATGATAGGGGTGTGAAGCTGTAGAGTGTAGCGATGGGTCAGATGCGTAACTTCCTGATCGAGGTCGAAAAGCATGTCCAGTAATCTGGGTAGCTGGGCATGTGATCTCCCCCAGAACAGCAGATCCAACCCCGATCGGAGGAGTGTCACAGCGTGTTTGTCATAGATTTCAAATATGAGCAAAAATTCTGACAAATCAAAAATTAAATTGACGGATAAAACTAAGACGACTAAGACTAAAACCGGGGCTAACGAGTTTATTGATCTGGACATAGACCCCTTCGAGAGAAGAGGTTCAGTTGGAAGATCTCCGCCATCACACGAAGGGTTTTGCCCACACTTCAACAGTAGACAAGCAAGTGCCAGAGGCAGCGACAGTGACAGAAGAGGTGGAAAAATCTGCTCAGGTTGGGGGAGTGAGATTGGTTAGTCACAACAGAACACTCTCATGCTCCTCAACTGAGTACGTTCTGGTTGAGGGACGTAGTAAGATCAATCGCCCGGTAAGAAAGAGCGTAATGGAGGTAATAAGTAAGGAAAGAACCGATCTTGAGAAGTTCCTTTTATGAAAGCAATAAGGTTAATAGAGCAGCAATTAAGTTTATCCTGTCTAAATGGACTAATCTCGAGGACAGGTTGAGGCAGGAAATAATTGAGAAAGAAAAGTTGCAGGCTTTACATAGGGAAAGAGCTAGATTAGCGGAGAAAAGTGGTAGAACTGAAGCAGTTAAGGACAAGAATAAGCAAGTATAATTCTCTGAAGTTGCCAGGTCTGAGAAAAAGGCGCAACGGAATGCTCCATCTAGAGCAATAGCGGGTAGATCGGTTGGGGCTACTGCGGGTAGCACGAAGCGACCCAGAAGTAACACGCTTATGGTTACTAGCACAACAAAAGAGTTGACCTCTGCTGAAGAGATTAAGAAAGCTCTTCTCAAAACAATAGACCCAGTCAAGAATCATATTAGGGTCAAAAATATTAGGATGGCTAGCGAAGGTAGGGTCTTCGTTGAGACGCTAGCGAGCACTGACCTGCAGAAGATCACCGATTGTCGGAGCCTAGGCGATACAGGCTTATCGGTAACTAGATCTTCAGCTAGGAAGCCAAGATTTATCAAATATGATGTTCCAGGCTACATGGATGAGAAGGACCTCAAGGAGGCAATCCTCAAACAGAATGCAGAGATTCACCAAGAAACTAACTTGGATTCCTTTAGGGAGTCATGTAATCCTAGATTTAGAGTAGGGAAAAAAAACCAGAATATGACGAATTGGATGGTGGAGACATCCCCTGAAATTGGCAATAAATTGGGAAAGGCTAGGATATTATATTTGGGATGGACTAGATGTAGGGTCTCGGATTTCATATCCGTAACGAGGTACTACAGGTGTTTGGATGTGGGGCACATTGCGAAGCATTGTAAGGCAGATAACGAAACCTGCTCGCACTGTGGCAAAGTAGGTCACCGAAGGGGTGATTGCCCTGATTCTGATAGGCCGGGATCCTGTGGATTGTGCATGAGGAAGAGGCTTCTTGCGCACGGCACATTCGATAAGAACTGTCCCTCATACAAGGTGGCATTGAGCAGATATGAGCAAACTATTGATTATGGATAGGAAGACTGCTGATCTGACAATCTTTCAGCACAATTTAGGGAAACGGTAGGGTAGCATCTGCTGAGCTAAGGGAAATGGCTGTGTCTGAGCGAGCCTCCATCCTCCTCGTACAGGAACCCTGGGTCGTGAGGGGGGCTGTCTGTGGCCTTTGAACGACATCGAACCGGATTCTCGCGGAGTCTCGCCAGGATGACACAATTCGGGCATGTATTGTGGTACTGGAGGCATCATTTGATGTGGTAGTGCTGAAACACTTGAGTTCACCAATGTTTGTATGCGCACAGGTCTCCAGCTAGTTTGAGGAACTTTTCGTAGTGTCGGTGTATTGCCCACCTTCATCCGAAATTGGGCCCCAAATGGAGCAACTTATGCGTATCCAAGAAGAGCTTCGAGGGAAGAGAGTAATTATAGGAATGGATGCTAACGCACGCTCCCCTCTGTGGCAGAGTGGATCATCTGATATAAGAGGTCTTGAGCTAGAAGGTTTTCTGGCCATGTCCGGGTGGTTTGTTGTTAATTAGAAGGGTAATAACCATACCTTCGCGTCCACCAATGGAGTCAGCAACATTGACGTAACTCTTTCTAGTGCTAGTCTCTATCCATTGATAGGAAATTCGAAAGTTGAAGTGGGCTGGACCAACAGTGACCATAGGGTTTTGGTCATTAAGCTGAGAAATGTTGAGTGCAGTTGCCTAATTCGCGAGGCAAGATTCAATATCACGAGAGCAAACTGGAAAGCTTTTCGAGAGAAATTCGTAGCAGAGGTCGGTGATTTAGAAGTGTAGTTGGTTGAGAGAGAGAGAGAGAGAGAGAGAGAGAGAGAGAGAAAGACGTAGTGATTGAAATGCATCGTACAACGTGGAACTAATATCACTCCGCGGTGACGCCGCGACACGAGCAAGACGACCACCTCACGTGGGCACGCGGGCCCAATCGGAGACGATTAAGGAGAGAGGGGCGGAGGACGACGTGACTACGGCCATTGTAAGACAGTTCAGTTCGGAATAAAGTGTTGACATATACACATCCTCTGAGTTCTCTCATTAGCCTAAAATTTCAGAAGTGGGATATGAGCCCGAGGTGCTCGATAGTAACGTTATGCGAGTACGCGAACTGTAAACCTGTAGTGATTCGCAGATCGCCACTGAACTTTATGTGCCGATAAATATTACGCTCGTTGGCAGTTAAGTATTCACGCGAGTGAAGGATATTACGTGAGAGAACACCGAGCTCTCAATTTACGCACTAGGTGTCGAGCACGCGCTTGCGTTTGACGGCCATTATGGAAAATTTGGCCACAACGAAAAATTTACGGTAGTGCTACTTAAGGAAACATTAAGACGCTTGGGCCTTTCTCTAAAAGGCGGCAAGTCGGAATTACTGCAGAGATTGTTCGAACACGATTCTACCGGTGGGTGGAAGCAGCTTACGAAGAAAATTCAAGAGGAAGAGACCTCAAGATACACTGGAGAAACCGAGGAGAACCACTCACAATCAGAAGAAGACGAAAACTTGAAAACGGGCGATGGGGAACGGGACCACACAGCCAGGCATATTCCCCAGTGGCAGGATGCCCAATTAGGAGAGCCAACTGCTCAAGATAAAGAAATGGAGATGCTGAGGAGAGAATGAGATCTGATGCAGCGAGAAATCGCACTCTTGCGCCGCGAAATGTGCACCGATTCGAACGCACGAGCTCCAATCTCGCCGATGATGACAGTATGTCAGGCTTCGTTAACGCGACCGTCACCTAAAGCCATAGGCGAATTATTAAATGAATTCGCTGGATCAGAGGATACGTTCTGGACCTGGCGGAAGCAGCTAGAGCTACTTCGGACGACGTATCAACTCGATGACGGAACGACGCGCATAATTATCTGAATGCGCCTAAAACAAAAGGCGTTACAGTGGTTCCATTCGAAATCAGAACACTTAGAAATATCGGTGGATCAATTAATTGAGAGAATGCAAAATATCTTTGATCATCGTCCCGCAAAGATGGAATTACGCAAACAGTTTGAGAAGAGAGTCTGGCGAAGTGACGAAACGTTTAGAAACTATTTTTATGATAAGACAATTCTCGCAAATTGAGTGCCGGTGGACAAAGTGGAGCTATCTGATTACATAATCGATGGCATTCCCGATGAGACAATCAGAAATCAAGCGCGCATGCAAAGCTTTACGGACAAAGAGAATTTACTAAGAGCGCTAGAAAAAATAACGTTGCGAGTAACGAACAAAAATGTCGACCGGGAGAATAGCAGCGCCGCCGCGAATAAACTGGACGTTAAACGAATGACGAAACCGCTACCCTCGGAAGCGTCGAAGCAGCGTGGCGCAGAAAACAAGTGCTACAACTGCAATGAGACGGGCCATATAGCGAGAAATTGCAGCAAGCCGAAAAGAAAACGAGGATCATGTTTCAAATGCGGAGCAACGGATCACCGATTACAGGCCTGCCCGCAAAAGAAGAAAGCGAGTGTTCCGCAAAAGATGTCAGCACAAGTAGAATCCGTGACGCAGATCTCTAGTGTTGAAGAACAACAGACTGGGAAGACAATGCAGATTTCCAACATCGTAGAGCAGCGAAAAGACAACGAGTTTGTTAAAGACATTAAAATTAAATTATAAATACACCGTGGTTCAATAAACACAAACAATTCTTTGTCTGAAAGGCATATACCACGAACACCAGGTAGTAGTGGCGACTATTACAATTCTTTTATTAAACACATGAATTCAAAATAAACGTTTCGGTCCCAGTCGGACCATCTTCAGTATTAACAGTACTATTATAATTAATTAGAATGATCCTATCATACGCAACATAATTATACAATTTAGTTAAGCCGTCAATCTTACTTAAAAATAATTTCTAGTCATATAATTTTAGCATATTTGTCATTACATAAACAAAAATTATTTTTCTCTTTTTTCTCCTAAAACGGAAGTCATAAATATTTTTCCTCCGTCACATAAGCTTCATATTTTGTATGTAAAAAAAATTTATGACTTCCGTTTTAGGAGAAAAAAGAGAAAAATAATTTTTGTTTATGTAATGACAAATGCTAAAATTATATGACTAGAAATTATTTTTAAGTAAGATTGACGGCTTAATTAAATTGTATAATTATGTTGCGTATGATAGGATCATTCTAATTAATTATAATAGTACTGTTAATACTGAAGATGGTCCGATTGGGACCGAAACGTTTATTTTGAATTCATGTGTTTAATAAAAGAATTGTAATAGTCGCCACTACTACCTGGTGTTCGTGGTATATGCCTTTCAGACAAAGAATTGTTTGTGTTTATTGAACCACGGTGTATTTATAATTTAATTTTGTTTGTATAACGCTGGCATTAATATGCGTTCAACAGTTTCGTTTTTTGAATTTATTAGAAATTATTTTGGTGTTCAAACTTGTTTAATATTAAAACAATATATTAAATTAATGCGGCATAATATTAGTGTAAGACTTAAAATACATTTCTTAAAAGCATGTCTTAAAGAACAACTAATTCCAGCACATCTACAAGGAATTAAAAATTATCAAGCAAATATAGAAATTAAAACTTCTAGATATAAAATGAGTAGATTAAAACACAACTTTATATTTAAAATGATTAGAATCGAGTTACAAGATGCATATAAACATTTAAGTTATGTAAGAAATGAATTATTTAAGCATCACAGATTAGTTATGAACGCGTTGCCTGAATATTTGTCATTCTCCTTTTTCCATCATCAAGAATTTGTAATTAATAGAATGTGGCGTATAGAAAATAATAGAATTAATAAAAAATTAGTTAACTTAAGAAGAGTTACAGAACGATGGAAACGGGAGAAAATAAAACCGATAAAATTTAGTGTATTGTGGTCAAAATCTGTAAATTCGAATATTGAATTCATTCCTTCGTATATTGAAAAGATTTCTACTAATAAAATAGATAATACGATTATACAAAATGTTTTTCAAGTTGAGATTGAACCATTGGAATTTGAAGATAAGTTTTCTTTAAAGAATATCAATGACAATTGGCTTATTAACTTGAGTAACATAGAAATTCCGGAGAATGTTAAAATTATATTACAATTAGGACACAAATTTAACCTACCTAATAATAAAATGGATAATGATAAAGTGATTTTGGAATTTATTAAACATATCGAATATAATATTAATAGAGTAGAGAATAACGGGCGTCATTCGATTAGGAATGATTGCATTCAGGCATTAAAGACATTATCTTACATTAACTCAATAAAAAGTACAGATGATAATTTAATTTTACAGAAAGGAATGAAAGAAGTTAAAAAATTTGTAGATGAACACAAAGATATTCTAATTACAAAAGCTGATAAATGCAACTCTACAGTTATTATGAATTTAGGTGAATATAAAGAAAAAATGCATGCTATGTTATCGGATATCGAAACGTACATTATTATTAAAAAAGATCCGACAAAAATGTTAACTAACCGAATACACATACTGTTGAACCGATGGAAAAACAAGGAATACATAGAACAATCTGCGTATAAAAAACTAAATGTTACGGATGGAACAGTATCTAGATCGTATGCCAAAGATTCACAAGGAAGGAAATCCTCTGAGAATGATCGTGAGTTGTATTAATAGTCCATTGTACCCGTTAGCTACGTATCTAAAACAAATTATAAATAAAAGTGTAAATAAAGGTTTTAGTTACATAAAAAATAGTTGGGACCTTATTAATAAAATAAATGGTAGGTCATTAGATGCAAATTATAAATTAGTTTCGTTTGACATTATTTCTATGTATACGAACATTCCGGAGGAATTAGTAATAAAAAGTATAAATATAAGATGGAATGAGATATCAAAAAATACTAGTATTCCGAAAAATGAATTTCTAAAGGCTATCTCATTAATTCTCAATTCGACATATTTTAAATTCGACAACCAATATTTTAAACAAATTTTTGGCATGCCAATGGGATCTCCACTGTCTCCCATATTAGCTAATCTTGTAATCCAGGATTTAGAAGAAGAGATTCTTAATAATTTGAATGTGGTGGTTCCGTTGTATTATCGGTATGTTGACGATATTTTGATCGCATTGCCATATGACCGGATCGATGACGTTCTATGTTCGTTTAACTAGTATCATAATAGATTGAAATTTAGTGTAGAAGAGAAGGATAATGGTTCTGTAAATTTTTTGGATATTACGATCAGAGTTGAGGAAAGCTGTGTCAAAATTGATAATTATAAAAAACCGACGAATTCGGGAAGATACTTGAGTTACAAATCGCATCACCCTGATGAACATAAGAAAGGTATTATTATAAGTCAATTTAATAGAATTCTTTTTCTTTCACATCCGGATTATCATAGGAGGAACATAAAAAACTTAATTAATTTTGCTTTTGAACGGTTATCCGTTGAACATAATATTCTCTACTATAAATTATAGAATAAAAACTTTATCGAAAAGAAAGAATTTGTATAAGAACAAG